CCTAAATCGAGTGTCGACCTTGGAGGCGGAGTGGTGCGGTCGAGTTAGGTGGAGTGAGACTTGGAGCGGAGTGATGCTGGATTCGGCATCTGGTTAGAGAGGATTCTGGATCTCTGTTGCAGTCTGTAGAATGGGGTAGTGCATTAATGGGTAGTTGTTTTGACGATATTATAGGGAGTGATTTCTTCTAATTTTCAAAAGGTAATATAACGTGATTTGTGGGATTTTATTCAGGGCATTTTTGGTATTATAAAAAATGTGGGTTTCTCTCAAATGAAAAATATAAGATTGGATTTATCCCTATTTTTTGAAATTCTCAGGGGGTTATATCTAATGGACCCTTTAATTATTTGTAGATTTGATTAGTTCCTAAATTCATTGTATTTATTAATCATTAAAACATATCTCATAATTTATAGGGTAAATTACGGCTACCCCTAGAGGTAACGTAAAATTACGAAACCCACCTCATGTTTGGGTAATTAAAATCACCCCATCAACTATAAATTTTCTTACACATCCATCCTTATCGTGTCAAATTCAATATAATCTTCTAAATTTCGTGGAACGTTTTCTAGTTTGTAATCGTATTATGCAAAAATGTATTTTATGATGCACCACAATCTGATATTTATAAGCTAAGAGACACGTCTTATGATTATTTTGTTTCAAAATGTGGAGCTCGAATGGAGTAAAACGGGTACAAACTCGAGAATATTCCACATAATCTAGAATATTTCACTAAATTTGACACCGTTAGAGTAAACGTGTAAGAAGATTCATAATTAATGGGTGATTATAATTACCCAAACACGAGGGAGGTAACCGTAATTTAGCCCTAATTTGTATCATTGTACAGTTCTCTAACAAGGCCCCTCTATATAAGTTGGGGACCCAAAGTTAATTTATTTATTGCTTTTATATTATTATAATAGGGGGGAAAAAAAGGCAGTGTAACGGTGAAATTCAGCTTTCATTCGAAAGATTAGTAAATAAAATGGTAAATATTGATTTGGTAGGCAAAGTTGAAAAGTGAACATTTAAAGACAATAAGTGCACAGTTTTCTAGAGACCCATTTCTTCTTTACAATATTTACACAACAAACCAACCAACGGCTATTTTCTCTCTCACATACAAATTACAAATCCCTACACATACTTTCCGGCGTTTCTACCTTTGACCCCCGTATATTCGTCCTTTACAGTTGTTTCATTTTTTTTTTTTATTAATAAATATATAATTATTGCACAATCTCTCTTTTAGGTTACTTATATATGTGTGATTAATTTGGATTATACGAGTTCAATTAATCTTTTTAATGATTAATTCATTATTTAGTCAGTATAGTGTTCGATTCTAGGCGTAAATATAAATTTGGAAATGAAATAGACAGGCTTAATGTCCAACTAGCAATACAGGCTTCATTCATTATATATATTTTACACAACATATATACTCCATTCGTCCCATAATATTTTTCACTTTCGAGAAATTATTTTTGTTCTACTTTTATTAATTAGTGGATATATTTTCTAAAATCAAGTCACATTTAATTAAATTCTTAATTCATGTGCAAAACTGACAATTACAAATGAAGTATATGATTGTGTAATTTAAATGTGGCGAATATTCTGCAAAGTATATATGTACATGGTGCCAAATTAGATGCCATATTCAGTTATTTACATCAGATAATTATTGATTATAGATCTGCACGTAATCAAAGTATATATGTGTGCTTAGTGAGAGGTTATTCAACTTCATATACAGTAGAACCTCGATAAATTAATACCCGATAAATTAATAACCTCGCTTAAATAATAAATTTTCCCGGTCCCGACTTGGGGACAACGTGCTAAATTAATAATTCGCTAAATTTATAAGATAATACACATTTCGAAAAATTTAAGAAGCCTCATATAATATATAAATTAATAATGCATAAAAATAATTCTTAAATTACATGGTATAGTTCATATTTTATAGATCAATGAAAGTTTAATACAATACAATCTAATTGTTTGCTTGTTTCTGTAAAGTTCACAATATCATAAATCTCGTCCCTCACTTTTCTTAACATAGTTAGAACTTTCGGTATAGTTTTGTCATAACTCAACATAAGATCGTCCTATATCATTGCAGCTTTAAGAGCTTCCGTTCGTGAAACGAGCTCTATAATGCATTGACGAATGGGACATTGAATAATATACACTA